CCCGAGGTACGTTCATACGACTAAAAATTTACCTGCTTGGCGTCAAGAAAGCAAAAAAGAACGGTTATGCTTAGTAGGCGATTAGGGTACGACTTACTAGATTTTTACCATTTTTCTAAAAAACAGGCCTGTATAGACCAGCCCAAGATGGTGCGAGGCTTATCTATTTTATGACAGTACTCGTACTTGTCAGACAACTGTTTTCGATCTCTCGAGATTCTCCCATTGACGATGAACGGAATATTTTTGAGATTATGATCAGACTTCGAATATTTGACAACCAGATGCTCAAATCCATATAAGGAGTACGAGGGTCGAAGTTCAACACCTCAGGACCGACCAAGAGTTTTCCATGAGACTTTGCTTCCTTCTATTTACAGGACAATCCTGACATTTGACCAAATACCAACAGCATCAGAAGCCCATAACCAGCAGATCTAGGCACATAAGTGTCAGATCCAGGCACATAAGTGTCAGATCCCACTTCTGAGAAAATATGTAGGATACGAACGAGATATGATAATAGTTGTAAAACGATAAACCTGAAAACATATCATCTTAAAAGATTCCGAACTACCACCCCGTACCATTTCATTGTTACTACATGAGCAGTACGTAAACAATTCGATATGGGCAACAGTGTCAGGGTAATGTTAAAGTCACTTACTTAGTGACGAAACAACAACGAGTTATCCTCCTTTGGCAGCGATAAGCGCGATATGATCGGATTGTCGGAGCCAACACCCATTTTTGGAAAAAGACTTACGAGTATCTCCCGTATTCAACCGACACATGACATCACATGCACAAATCTACTATTTACCATTACATTAGTGTATGGACAGACGTGCTGAGTTTAACGATTGTTACAAAAAAGACAGTCCAGGAACCGGGATATCACCTTGGCCAATGGCGGTTGTGTCAATACCCCAAAGCTCCGACGTTACCCCTGAATCAGAGATAACCGAGCAATATGACTATCATTAAAGTAACAATCCCTTCACATCTCCTGCCATGAGATACATTCAGACTCCAGCGATTGCCAAGAGAAGATAGTAAAGGCTGCTGCACAATTGCCCGGGAACGGGAACGAGAACGGAAACGGAAACGAGAGAAAAGTTCAATTACATATAATCCAATACATACATGCACAACAAACGGAAACGGCAACGGTAACGGGAACGAAAACGGAAGAGTTGGCCAAGATTCAACTTTCCCGTTCCGTCGCCTTCTCGGAGCCAATCAGAATGCTCAGAACCAGGACATGCGCATTACAGTATTAACCTAAAAATTGAGTTTTGTTTATTTTGGTCTTTGTTTGGAGTAGTAACGCTAACGCTACGATTTCATTATGAATGACGAATTATTGATTCAATTAGTGGAAAAGTGCCCACACATTTACAATAAAACGTTGAAGGAATACACAGATGATAAAATGAAAGATAATAGTTGGCTATCAATAGCAGAGTTTCTCGATTCGGAACGTAAGTATGAACATGTGGTGCTTAGCGTCCTTAGCGATACGATTATACATTTTTTGTTTATAATGTGAACAAATGCGAAAAATCTTTTAGCTTTCCACTCATAATGGTATTACAAGATTCCATTTAAATAGCGTAAATTGAAGCTCTTAGTCATTTTGTATTAACTCATTATACGCTGGTTTATGTTAGTGCACAGAATTTATAATTCAACAATACATGATAAAACTTCATAACAGATTTAACTCTTTTGCAGCAGCCATAGTGAAAAAGAGGTGGGACAACCTGAGAGACAGGTTTGTTCGAGCCTATAGACAATACAATACTGTGCTTCCTTCAGGTTCAGGTGGAGGAACACAACAACAACCGGACTTCCCATACTTTGAAATAATGATGTGGTTAATACCATTCATCAGGAAGAGAAAGTAAGTCATACAGTGTAATTGAATCATTTTGAGGTCTACATAGTGCCACCCATTGTAGGCTGGCGCTGAGAGTTCAGTGTGTACTTTTTATCACCCAATTCTTAAACCTTCATTTATAAGTACTTCAATAAAAATTACACCTGAAGTTTATAATGGTCAGGTGGAATGAACTATTTGTTTTTGATTTTTATGAATATACCAGTCCTCTTTGTATGTTAAGACAACTCTATTATATTTCAGGCTGATATCCTCGACTGCCCCAGAAAGTGCTTCAAAAGTGCCATACATTGAGGAGGTTGAGTCTGAACCATTACTAGATGATTATGTTGTGGGATCAGATGGTGTATTGTCACCTGAGCCTACCCAGTCTAGACCTACCAGCTCACATTCATCCAGACCTGATAGTGCATGTGGACACAAAAAGAGCATCCAGGAGTCAATGGCCACAGCTTTACAAAATTTTTCAAAAATATGTGAGAAAAGATTTGGTGAAAATACTGAAAACAGTGACACACATTTTATGAAGTCCATTCTCGATGACATGCAACATCTGCCACTGAAGAAAAAAATTAAATTTAAAAAGAAGTCATGGAGTTACTAGTTAAATATATTGAGAATGAAGATATCTGAAATATATTATGTCATTCTTTTAATGTGTAGGAATAAAATATACAAAAATGTATACTTGCTACTTTTATTTATAAAATTGATACTAAAAAATACTACTATGCTTTTAATTTCCATACAATAGACAGTATGCTAGCATATTTCAAAATCTTCCTCTGTTAACATATGCCATTTGCCATGACACTGCTCCAGCATCTGATATCAAATATTCTGCTAGCTTGTCTCTCAAAGCCATAGTTGCACTGGCTGATATATTTGCTCCCACTCTGCCAATTGGTGTCAAGTTGGTGTCATTTTGGATGATTTCTCTCCATTCACCATCCCTATTTGTTCCACCATCATCCTTCAAGGAGTCTATTAATGTAGGTGGTACATATGTCGTTGGTGCCTCAGTTTTCAAATAATTATGTAGGCATATTGTAGCTTTTACCACAGCCTCTGTTGTTTTTATGGAGCATAGCAGAGGAGAGCGATAAACTCTCCATCTACTTGCAAGTATCCCAAAACTATTTTCTATGACACGTCTTGCTCGTGATAATCTGCAACAAAATTTGTCAGAAATATTCATTTTGTGCTGTTTCCACATACCTACCTGTAGTTGAAATTTCTGTTCAGTTAGTTGCCTTCCTGGATATGGCCTCATTAGATATGGTTTCAAAGGGAAAGCTTCGTCGCCAACAAAAAAATAGGGCATTTCAACATTGCTACTTGGCAATTGATCTACCTTTGGCAACTGAACTGATCCTTCATCTAACTGTTTTCCCATCTGAGATCTCCGAAATACACTAGCATCATGTTCAGAGCCATACGCACCAATATCTGCCCAAATAAATTTATAATCAGCATCACAGCATGCTAGTAAGATAATGCTAAAGTGGTTTTTATAATTATAATACAATGACCCACTATTCAATGGGCATTGAATGTGAACATGTTTTCCATCAATGGCCCCAAGTGTATGTGGAAAATTCCATCTATTTGAAAACTGGTGGCTGATATTAATCCACTCTTGTTCAGTAGGGGATTTCAAGTAAATAGGTTGCATTGTATCCCAAATTGCGGTGCATGTTTCAAAGATCACTTTTGAAACAGTTGAATGTCCAACGCGGAATTCCCATGACAAACTTTGAAATGATCCTCCATGAGCCAGAAACTTCAAAGTCATAGCCAACTTTAATGCAGGGCTTAAATATTCTCTCCTACTATGTTTTAGTAGTTTTGGCTTGAGGAGACACAGGATACTGTCAAACTGATCTGGTAGCATTCTTGTATACTTAAAAAACATTTCAGGATCCTTTGTTTTCATATGGGTAAAAATATTTCGAAAAGCCCCTTTCTCATTCCTTTCTCTGAATATTGGTCTGACCCACCATCTATAAAATATACAAATTCCAATTAGTATGTGATTCATTGTTTTTTCAAATTTGGCCTACCTTCTATTTTCTTGTGTCATTAGATACAAAAAGACACATTCCAAAAAAAGAAAGGACAGAAAGAGAAACTGTTCGTCAAAATCCATTTTTTTTTTTGGATAAATAGTCTAAAAATAAAAAAATCAACTATTTTTACCACAACTGTTTACGAGCAGCGAGGAACTGTCAAAATTGCATAAAGTAAGGTTAGGTACAAAATTCTGTCATAGTTGTCAACTGCTTCCGATGTGCTCCCGTTAATTGTGCATCTGCCGAAGTCTCTCGTTCCCGTTCTCGTTTCCGTTTGCGTTCTCGTTCCCGTTACCGGGCAATTGTGCAGCGGCCTTTAGGCGGTCATTCAGACCTAGGACGCCACTTCGGCCAAAGGCCACCATGTCAACATCCCAAGCGCTCCGAGGTTTCCCTTGGTAGAGGAAACCGAGCAGTAATTAACATAACTACCTCAACACAGCAAACGGGCTCCGAAACTCTCATAAGAACTCCCAGAAACTGGAGGCGTGCCGCCGGCGCATATTCAACAACAAGTCGTAAGCCATAAATTAAATGATGAAGGTAAAAGGTATAGCATCTTTATAAACATGGCTTAAGATATTCATGATCATGAATATAAAAGTATTATGGTTATCAATCCATGCAGTATAGTAGAATAAAAGAAACACTCGGTGATTGCTGACCTTCCAGGTAACCAAAACACTACTCCCAGTAGCACATCAACACTGTAATTAGGTCCACAAAGCGCACTACTTGGTCTGAGAAGTGATTTCTTCCACGCACTTTTTGAAATGCATTGCCAGCCACGCCCGTATCTCTTAAGAAAGTTTATCCTGGGAACAAGTACCCAGAGAAGGAATGGAATGTATAACATAAACAGGCGTAAGTGCCGTCGCGCTCTGTGCTACAGGACTGAACTGGCATGCAAAAATGTGTTTGAGATATTTCGTAAGCTAACAATCATAAATAAATAATGATGAATTGGTACCACTGTGGATAATTAGTATAATGCTAAGGTAGTGCATGTTATGAGTCGGTTGAATATGGGAGGTAATCAAGTCATTTTTCTAAAAAAAGATATTGGCCCCGACAATCCGATCATATCGCGCTTACCGCTTGCCAATGGAGGATAACTCGTTGCCGTTCCGTCACCAAGTAAGTTGCTTCAATATTATCATGAAATTGTTGCCCATATCGAATTTTTTACGTACTGCCGATGTAGTAAAAATGAAATGGTACAGGGTGGTACTTCAAAACTTTCAAAGATGGGTTTGCGGTTTTCACGTTTATCGTTATATTCCATTCTTATCACCTCGTTCGTATCCTATAAGTATTATCTTGCATATATCACATGTTCTATAAAATAGTTCAGTGCGTTCTCAAGTATACAATAGTAATGTATCATCCCTCACACGATGATTCTATAAACTAGAAATCCATTTATAATATTTATCATTTGAAACATGATACAGAATTGTGCACTGAAAGCTTAACTATTTGGATATTTCAGCGTTGTTTTCCCACTATGGTATACAATACGTTTCTTACAGATCAATTCAGTACATACTCAAATATACTATACTGCTATATCGTCTTCCAAATGATTGGTTTTATAATCTAAACATCCATTCATAAATTTTATCATTTTGAACATAATATAGAATTGGGCACTAACAACTAGGCGGTAACCGTTGTTTTCTTACTACATTTTTACGATTTAATCATCCTTGATCTTACAAAGTCGCACTTTGTTTAAAAATACAGATACACACTTCACAGATTCACACATCGGACCGTCCCTTGAATACTGTCTAAATTCTACTATCAAGTAGCTTTTCAGTATTTCCCTGACTAGCTGCACTCGCTGGTGAAACCTGCATCGATCTGCAACCTCCGTCTCCCAGGTACTGATTTTCTGTATGCGTACACATACATTGTAAGCTGTTTGCTTCGTGGAATGTCACTGTTTTCTGCACCTCACTTACTCTCAATTTGAGAGTCTTGCCTCACCATTTATGATTCCGTCATACCACTCTACCGTCCTAGTTCCACCTGATGTGAACACTCATATGGTTTGTTCGTGCAGCCTGTTTGCTGACAATCAGCAAACTGATAGTCAGCGACAAGTCATGACCTAGTTTACGCAGCTAGCTGTCACTGACACGTCGCTGACTGTATTGATTGCGTACATGAGAACGTTACGAGTTGGCTGAGAAAGGTAAGACCGATTACTGACAAGTAATCCGCTGTTCGTACAGAAACTTCTGACTGTTTGGTGACTGTCAAATTAGTCAGTAGATAATTTGCCAGTAAATTGTCAGAGCTCGAAGTACAAACATTATTCGAATGTAACATTTTTCAGGATGAAGTAGACAATTTTTGAAAAGTTGGGGTATGTTCATTTACTGTAAACCAATGATCTAGGATTTTTAGTCCAACTGCCTGAATGTGCCCGAATTTTCCTCTAGAGATAAAAACATGGGCACTTTCTAGATAAAATCACAGCACCCAAAAATGTCAAGTAGATTTACTCAGTAACTCCCATTCAATTCTCATATAAAAAGTATAAACACAAATTCGAAGAAATATGATTCCACACATCAAATGACAAGTTGAAGAAGTAAATACGAGGGATATCTTTTAAGTTTTGCATATAGAAACATAGTAGTCCGCGCGGATCGAACGTCAGTACTGAATCTTAACCTGACTCTTTAGTAAACTTAAATTCAAAGTTTCACAACAATACGTGCAGTGTTCTCTCACTACAGTAAATTTTTAAGTGTCACCACTACTTTCAGAGAAATCATCGAAACAAGAATGCCTTGCTGAGTTATTGTCTGTTTTCGACAACGAAGCGCCACATCATTCGACAATTTCCCGTTGGTATGTAGAATTCAAACTTGGACGCGTGATTCTTAGCGACGATGCCAGGGTGGGTGCACCAAAAACGGCAGTCACCCAGGAAAACGTCGATGCTGTGCGCAAACTCATCATTGAAGATAGACATATGACATATCGCAAGATTGAGGCGTCCTTGAGGATCTCAAAGACCTCTATTCAAAAAAATTTACATGAAGAAATAGGAGTAAGAAACTAGTTTCTCGTTGGATACCCCTCCTGTTGACTGAAGAGCAGAAAGCAGCCAGGGTTAATTGGTGTCAAAAAACGCTTGACCATTTCAATTCCGGAAACAAAAGTCATTCGTTCTCGAAGTGTTTCGCGACATTTGTGTCAAAAGCGGGTCATATTGCAACAATTCCTCTTAATGAGAAAAGAACTGTTACTGCGGATCGGTATACCACCATTTGTTTACCAAAAGTCATCACCGAGCTTCGAAAAATCAACCCCGAAAGAAGAATCATTCTCCACCAAGACGATGCAAGCTCACACACTGCCCAGAAAACAAGGCAGTATTTAACGGAAGAAAACGTGGAATTATTGGACCATCCTCCATATAGTCCCGATCTAAGTCCTAACGATTTCTTTACTGTCCCGAAAATTAAAAACAGACTGCGTGGTCAAAGATTCCAGTCACCAGAAGAAGCAGTTGACGCATTCAAAAATGCCGTTTTGGATCTGCCAGCAAACGAGTGGAAGAAGTGCTTCGAAAACTGGTTCGAGCGCATGCAGATGTGTATTAATCTTCGTGGAGAATACTTCAAAAAACAATAAAGTCATTTAAAACTACATACCGTATTGTTTTATTTCCCTCGTACATAGTAGGAATTCCGAGTAAACGTCTGCAGTGATCATGCATGAGAAATTTACAAAGTGTTGTGAATGAATTTTAATAAAACTCAGATAGTATTGTTTTTGTTCCCTTGTCGCCCAGCCTCGAAGTACTAACAGTATATATATATACAATTACTTGTTAATTGGGAAAATTGGCAAAACTTTTAGGCTAAAGTTGACTCGTTTGACGATAAAATCAAGCTTTCGGCATTCTCTATGGAGCCATCATCAGGATTCTGAAAACACAATTGTGATGCTAGCAAAGAAGACAGATTTAAAATGTCAGACAACTTACTCGTCGGTGAGGTTGCAGCCACAAGGTGTTTCAGAAAGAACGTAGAGGACATTGGGCTTGTTAAAAAACGACAGATACCTTCGTTAAAAGTTAAGAAAAAATATATATTTATACAGGGTGACTTTGAGGTTGAGTCATTAATTTCCAGATAATGATTGTAGAAGGAAGATAAACCAAAATATGTGTGTAAAAATAAAAAAAAATTAAAAAAAAAATTTTACCTTGTTTTATAAAGTAGCCTCCCGACAAGTATTTCAGTGCGGACCTGTATTTGATCGTGAGGTCTTGGAGCACCGGCATGCCGTCCATATGTGAGATCTTAAGTCAAATGATTCACGAACCCGTTGTACTACATTAACAAAGGCACGAGGGGTTGGTTGCACTCGATTGGGAAACCGATCCGCATAAACATGTGCCATTTTTTATTTCGTTTGAGCCACGCAACAGACACCACTATCCACTACCGACTGACACTGACTGTATACAACTGAACGAAATAATTGTAAAAACATCGTTCCAAATTCTTTCGCTTTTTTGTTTCCGATGCTATAACAAAGGGCTATAACTTTGTTACTTTAATTTTACCAGAAAAATGGTAAAGGAAAAAACATTTCTTTTGATCAGATCTACTCACTGTTAAAATAAATGACTCAACTTCGAAGTCACCCTGTATATATATATTAAAATATAAAATTTTAACTTTTACCGAAGGTATCTGTCGTTTTTTAACAAGCCCAATGTCCCCGTCCTTTTGTTTTTATACTGAAGACAAGTTCGATCTTCTCTACGGTCTGTCTGAAACACCTTGTGGCTGCAACCTCACCAACGAGTAAGTTGTCTGACATTTTAAATCAGTCTTCTTCGCTAGCATCACAATTGTGTTTTCAGAATCCTGATGATGGCTCCATAGAGAATGCCGAAAGCTTGATTTTATCGTCAAAAGAGTCAACTTTAGCCTAAAAGTTTGCCAATTTTCCCAATTAACAAGTAATTGTATTTTGTACCCAACTAGTCGTTGGCTTTGGCAATGACTACATCTCATATATATATATATATGATCTGATCAAAAGAAATGTTTTTTTCCTTTAACACTTTTCTGGTAAAATTAAATTAACAAAGTTATAGCCCTTTAAAGGTTTGAGTACCGCCCTGTCTCAATAATAATATTATGTGCTCGTGTTTGGCAACAACGGATATAATCCGCCTTATCGGTTCATCGCATCGGTAACAAAAAAGCGAAAGAAGTTGAAACGTTTATCACGATGTCAGTCAATGTATCAGTCGGTAACGCGTGAGTGAATAGTGGTGTTTGTTGCGTGGCTCAAACGAAATGGCACATGTTTACGAAATGCTGAACTTGTGGACATGATTCTTATTTACGGGCAGGGGAGTCTTTACAAAATGCTGCCGCGGCATCACGGATTTGTGCGAATCGGTTTCCCAATCGAGTGCAACCAACCCCTCATGCCTTTGTTAATGTAGTACAAAGGGCTCGTGAATCAGGTGACTTAAGACCTCACAGGGGAGAGAAATGCCGGTGCTCCAAGACCGCACGATCATATACAGGTCCGCACTGAAATACTTGTCGGGAGGATACTTTATAAAACAAGGTAACATTTTCTTTTTATTTTTACACACATATTTTGGTTTATCTTCCTTCTACAATTATTATCTGAAAATTAATGACTCAACTTCAAAGTCACCCTGTATATATATTCTAGCTATGTAAGTCCAGCCCAAAGCTGATGAAAAAAAAACAAAAAAACGAATTCTGGAGATTTTGTGGTACAGATTTTTTTCACGGGTGTCCATGGAGAGGGAATGGCCGACTGTTTCTGCTGGGGTGAAAATATTTTCCCTATACAGGGTATTTTAAATTCGACTCTCACCATTGGGATCTTGGAACTTTAAGGATATGAAGTCGCTTAAATAGGGGCAAAGTTGCGTATTGAGATAGTCAGCAAAATGTCGCTTAGAGAGTTTTGAAATTAAAAGTACTTCCGGAAAGAAACGTAAAAAACGAAATTTCCCAAAATGGTTTTAATTTTCTCCTGACATTATTTATGGTGGGATTTCAAAATAAATTGTACCTCAACTCCGCCACATTTTCGCCTCTATAAGACGGCACAATTAGAATTTCAATATGGCGTTTCTTCTCTTGTCCCCCAGCTTCACTTAATTTTTTCTTATGGACGCCATATTGGATTCTTACACACATAAACAGAATGTTTATTCTGATTTCAAAAATATATACATTGACATTGCAAAACCTTAGTTATTCCAGAAGTTCCTAGGTAGGCCTTGAAATTATCAGATTTCTTTTGTTTGCATAGCCTCAGAGTTGGAAGACTGTGAAGACCTCTGCTTATTTATGGTTATTACTGTTATTACCACCAATAAATTTTTCATTTCGTATTCAGGTTTCACCATATCTTTATACTTCCTTATAATTTTCATCTAACAACAAATTTATGGTCAACTAACGGAGTAAATCACTGAATTTAGGGCTGAAATGTACAAAATTCCAATATAGTGTCCGTACGAAAAAACAAAATTGATGACGTCGGAAGAAGAAATGTCGAATTGAAAATTTGATGAGTATAAGTAACAATGAAAATCTGCATTTTATTTTAAAATCCCATGTCAAATAAAGTCAGGGAAAAATAGAGCGATTTTGGGATAAATTTGGTGAGCGAAACAAACATCTTATAATTCAAGACCTTCCTAAGAAACTGTTTTTTTTTTTTGAAGTAACTAAGGTTTGGCAGCGTTAATGAATTTTTTAATCAAAATTAAGAACTCTATTCATCTGTGGAAAAATGCAATATAGCGTTCTTAAGAAATAATAAAGTTGATGCTAAGGACAAGAGACGAACCGTCATACAGAAATTCTGATTATACCTTTTTGCAGAGGAGAAAACGTGGCACTGTTAATATGCAATTTAGTTTAAAATCCCAACATAAATGAAGTCAGGAAAAATTAGAACGATTTTGAGAAAATACAGTTTTTCCCTTACTCTCCGGAAGTATGTACCCTGAATTTCGAAACTTTCTATGTGTCATTTGTTAACTACCTCATTTAAGAGATTCCGTCTCCCTTACAGATTCCAAGATCTCAATGGTGAGTGCCAAATTAGAAACACACTGTATATGCAGACCCTCACTAGAAGAGAGAAGCAAAAATACGACAAGGATTTAATCACGTCTTTGAATAATAAAGGGTGTTATACACTAAAAAGCTAAAACAGTTGAACATAACTACAATTATCAAGATCTGCTTACATAGCTAAGAGTTTCACTGAGTTCCCAACATGGACAAAAAGAACTAAGTATACGCAAATACATAGAAGTAAGACTTAAATCGAGTAATTCCGCATTTTACAATTCTAACAAAAATTTTCAAAGGATTAGTGATCACAAAAATCGTATTAATTATCGTTCTTGAAACTTATGTCCTCTATTGTTCGGATTTTTCATACTGTATTCACAATCTTTATTTTGCCATTACCGGGTCAATAAACAAAATATGGAGCATAAAGCACTTTGTAGCTGGCTGATATTTGAAATGGAATTTCATTACAATTTCTTCTGGCAGTTACTCATCCGACAAATTCAACAAACACTTGTTTCTGTTGAATTGTGACACTGTTTTCTCTACAAAATTCAGGTTTTTGGGTTTCATTCTCTCCTCAGTAGATCGACAAAGTCTTCATTTCTTGGTATATCGCTCAGTTCTTTTTACACCGAAGAAGCCGCGCAGGTGAACGCTACATGCCAGGGCACCGCGGCTGCTTTGAGGAGCTTGAAGAAACTTTATTATTCCTATTTTTGAACAGCCTAGAGTTATTAGAACTGGGAAAAACTCTTCATGTAGATTGTTACACGATCTCGACACCCTCGGAGAGAGAGCTCCGAGGAGCAAAGCCCGTTGGCGTAGCTAGATCGCCAACGGCCCGTCGGTGTCCCTTGACCATCCATTAGAGAAGAGTAGTCGATCATTAAATGCCTCTTGCGAAGCAATTTTATTCCTAAAGGTAGTTTCGACACACTCTGATACCTGTCACTGTCACTGGTTGACTGGTGTCCTCTGATCTGTCAGAAGGTTCTGTACGAACAGCGGATTAGCTGTCGGCAAACAGTCAGAAACTGTACGAACAGGTAACATCTCTCTGATTCTGATTTTGACAGTCAGCGGCAAGTTACCGACTACTGTACGAACAAACCATTAATGAACGTACTATCCTTCTTGATGGAATACTAATTGGTAACCACAACGTTTTCTCCTTCCGCAGATGCTCCTGATTTTTCTCTGGTAAAGGGAATGCTATTTTATTGAATACCGATTCCCGTCTGGATCGGTCAATTTTCTGTCGGAATTGCACTTTACTAATTCTTCCCAAGGAAACGTTTTGAATGGCTCTCAGCAATCCTTTCATTAAGCAGTAACCCCACCAGGATTGATCCACATCTGTGCCAAAATGTCCCGTTCTAACACGGATTGTACTAACAGAAACGCTGCCTGTAACTTACTCGAAATGTTGTATCACTTATTGTCACTTACTTCTGTACTCTGCTAAACACATTGTCTGCTAAAAACTGAATCCTGTTACACCTCTTCA